ATATTATATCTGCATAGTAGCTCTTAGATACAGCCTTCGAGTCCTAAAAGGAAAGTTCGAGTTGAAATGGGAATACTTTTGTTACGTGACTCTCACTTACCATAATGCCTAAGAGGGGCATAAAGGCAATAAATATAAATGCCAATGCGCCGACTGGCATGACATTGAATAAATAATACGAGTACAAGACCATTGCCAGATATATGAAGCGATAAGCCTTGAAAGAACAATACAATTAGTATAAAATGAATGTGCAGCTCTTTCGCAGTTTACCGGAGTTGGAGGAGAAAAGAAAATCGGAGCAAATAGAAGCGGAATGAGAATAATCAAAATGCCTTTGTAGTGAAATGCACAAAACTTTTTACGATCATCCTGCTCTGGATATGGCAAGGTACCCGGCTTGTAGTCCTGCCTGACCATATAGACATTATCAATGTTAAATGTGAATCTTGTTTTCCTACTTACTCCATTCTTAGTATCTATCCGACCAAATCTTATGTATACATTAAATTTTTCTGGTTCCCGAGAGCAAAACAAACGAAACAGAACACTTTTACGATCGTTTTTTTTTTTTTTTTTTGTTTTTTTTTTACAAAGGTAACTTTGTAGTTGAAAAGTAACTTGAACTACTGTTAGAACAGAGTTACATAGATTGATTATTAATAGTCATGCTCAACGGGTTTTACAATTTTATCAAATGAAAAAGTTTGATTTATACAATACAATTTAAATACAATTTTCCATTTAAGCTATCTCAAAAAAATATATATTAAAATAAAAATAAATAAATAAATAAAACTACCCAATTATGACTTAAATTCAGTTTAAATATCTCATATTTCTTACTTCACCACCTAGTTAACTACAGTTATGACAACATTTATCACGGAATATTAACTTATACGTGTGCATAAATATTTGTGTGTATTAAATATTTCGCAGAATATAAAATGTATTTTTTATTAGCCGTTTCTTCGATGGCAGACTAAGAGGACCCCTTACCTCCCCCCTATGCCAAATGGTGGATGCCTATGCATATAGTACTTAACAAGCATATACACACATACGCATCTATGTATATGTAAACATATTTGCATAAGCTTAAATGTGCGTTGCGCACCTTTCGAAATTTCGAGCCAATTGCTGTATGAATTTTCATATGTATATATACATATAAATGGCACTCACGTACTCTCCCTGGAATCAGGCAAACGGCGGAGAAAAAGTGAAATGAATATAAAAATCAAAGTGATTTGGCTGGCAAAATATTTACTCGCCTGGCAAAGCATAAGATTGCCAATTCGGAATGCCCCTCTCGAAGTTAGCAATGCAATAGCTGATTGGCAACTCAAATTTGTGTTTATTGGCTTGTTAATTGATTTCTATACATTGCTTGAATTTCCTGCTCAAATTTTATTTACATGGAAATCGTTAAAGCTCCAACTGTGACAACATTTACGTTGATAAGAGTTAAATTATGTATTATTTATTCGCAGTATCATATAAAATAGTATTTTTTGCTTATACCTGGAACTCATTACCAATGGGTATTCAGGGTATAAAGACTTTATGTAAATGTATATAATAGGGTTGGAGGAGGCGTGATAGCATTTAAAAAGCATATTCTTGTATATGAGTTGATCTAGATATATTCGTCTGTCCGTTCCACATTTGTTCTACATTTAATTTTCATTTCTTAATTATCGATAATAATCGATAGTCTAATTTGGCTAGCATAAAAACACTTTTAATATCTACCAACAAAAAAAAAAAAAAACATATTTGGAATATTATAATAATGGTACAGATTTTGAATATTATAATAATGAATTGAGTTCAATTGAACTCACATTTCACATTTCTATAACATAGGGTAGCCTAACTGTCATAATAGACGATGGGGTAAATTAATTTTAGCTACATTCTTATACGTCAAAATACAATGCTAAAATTCTGTTTAATTTTCTTCGCTAGGGGGATTTTTGCATGGAATCGTTTCCATTTGGGCAATTATTAAGTTTGGTATTTATAGAACTATTCGAAACGCCAACGATAAATTCTGCTCAACACATCAAGCTGTCAGTTGACTACAACATTTTATAGCAACGTCTTATCAATCAATCGTTCTGAGTGCCACACAGACTTATCTCACAGTTAATAAAACTTCTCTGCATTAGTTTTATCGTTCAGCGCGAGATAAAACCACTTAGTGGTTATACATATTAAAAAAAATAAATAAAAAACTTGCCAAAACTATTAAACTGCCGTTTCAGTTGCTCTTGTGCTGCTCATGTTCTTTTTTTTTTTTTTTTTTTTTTTGGTTATCGTATTCGAAGTTGGAAGCCCAAGCATAATTATCTTGAGTTTGTGATTTCAATTTTTTTAGTGCTCGTAAATCGATAGCTGACTGAGTGCTTATGATGTTGACACCGTCTAACTGGCTATTTGAGCCATCAGAGCTATTTGAGCCTGAAGCGCTCAGCCGAGTAGCAGGAGTGTTCAATGTTTGAGCTATCTAATGCATGCTTATTGGCAAAGTTTTTTTCTTTCGTTTTTATTTTTTCCTAATAGCTGAGGCAAGTTTTGTGGGTCAAGTCTTGAGCCAGCGACTGCACTTTGGCCAATAAAACTTTCGTCTGCACAGCCACGATGGATGCTGCAGTTACGAGCTACAAAGGCAGATGACGGGGCAATGCCAAAGAGTTGGAACACGGGGCAACTTTGTTGGGCCACGTGGCGCGTAACAATGCGCAGTCGTTGGCAATTTTGCGTAACTGTTCGCCGTTCTGCTTCGTTACGAACGGGCAGAAGAAGAGGAGGGGGGATAGGGGCATACAAAAGCTTCAGCTAAACCCTGGCTAACTGCATAAACTTTGCTCAGCCAAAAGCGGATGTCACTGCAGATAATGTTGCATCAAATGTTTTAGGGGACGCACCTGTGTCTGTCTGTCCCTCGTCTGTCAGCGCGGTAGCACCTGTGCGCCTGCTCAGGTTCGTCTGCTACTTTGTTTGGGCCATCGGTATTGCTTTTTGCTTTTTTTTTTTTTGTCTGCTCCTCTCGCCCTCTGTCGGTTCGCTCCTCTTGCAAAGTTTGCGGGCTCAACTTATTCTTAAACCAGCTGTGTTTTTTTTTCCTTTTTCTTTTTTTTTAGGGGGGTTTTGCAGCTTTGCTACATTTCGGGTGAACTATTTTGGGCATGCGGCTGCTATWGATTTAATTTCGAATGCTTGTTTAACGCTCGAATTATTTTGCTGACTGCCAGGCATTGAGAAGCTCAGCTCAGCTCGGCTCAGTGCAGCCAAGCAATTCGATATCATTTCTGTTTGCAATAATTGGGAAAATATTCAGTGGGAAACTTGACAAATGCCTTTGTCAATTTTCGTTGTCTATTGCGTTGTGCAACACTGATTCAATAAGAATCAGACAGACGGCAGAAATGTGCGCTGGGCTGCCTATGATTTCATTAGTAGATATTGTTATGATTGAGATTAATGACGAATCACAACCAAGATGTTGATTATAGTTCTTATTGATTGCGATAAAGAGTATCAATCAATTTGACTAATATCGTTGATTGACCTTGATTGTTTTCAGTCGTTGTTCTTGAATATGATGGAGAGTATCAATCAATATGATTGATATCGTTCATTGATCTGGATTGTGAAATATTTAAGTATTGCTCGCAATCTGCTTGAGTATGATAGAGAATTTCAATCATTATGATTGATACCATTAATAGATCTTGACTGCTATCAATCATATTCTGCTTGAATATGATAAAGCAGCAATCATTTTGATTGCTATCGTTGATTGATCTTAATTGTCATCAGTCGAAGTGCTTGAATATGATACAGGGTATCAATCATTACGATTGATACCGTTAATTAATTTTAATTATTATTTGAATATACTACTTTGAATATACTACTTCGCTATGATAAATATAGGTGATTGAAGGACAATATTGTAGTGTACCTAAGCTAGGTTTCATGTTCCTTGCTGTCGTTCGTATTCCAATTCCAATTGTTAGCTTATATCAATTGTTATGACTGATTGATTGATCGACGGGTGACTTCTCTATTTGGATTTCGTCATGATTGTTGTTGCTCATCTACCAATCGGCAATTAATTAAAATGCGCAATTTCTGTCTCGGCCAGGTGCTGGCATTGGCATCAACTTAAGCACGTGTCGCATTGCCTGCGCCCAGGTAGTTGCCTCGTGTTTCCCATTGTTGTTGGACATTGTTGTTGGCAATCGACGACATCGTCATTGCTGCTGTTGTTGTTGTTGTCGTTGGCAAGGTGATTGACGGCGTAGCTGGCGTTGATGGCCCCGCCGAATGGAACTACACATGAAAGGAAACAATGATGGAACAACTACCACAATGCCAATGCTAACAAACAACGCCCATGGTATGACAGCAGTACATAACAACAACAACAACAACAACAATGACCAAACACAGCGGCCACACACAAAAAGATGAAGCGCACGTAAAATGGCGCCGGATGTTGATTGACTTTTGTTGAACAATTTTTCGCATACGGAAGTTTGATAAACAGCAAATGGCGCTGGTTTGCCCTTCGCTTTATGCCTTTACGCACACACACACACACACACACGAGCACCCACACACACAAAGCCACGAACACCCTTGAATGTTTAGCAAGACATCAACGCAAGCTGAGATTTGAGGTGTCATCGTTTTGTTGTTGCCACGTTGTTTGGCTTTTGATTAGGGTTAACTAGCCCGCTCTATGCGCTCCCTTAAGCTTCTGCTATAATTATATATAATAAGCCATAAGCCGTCAACGCATGTTCGCTGTTGAGTTTTATGACAGTTCATCCGTGAAGCTAGACCAGACCGAGTCTGTGTGCGGCTTACTCAAACAGATGTCAAGTGTGTATATAAATTTACATTTCTTGCTTTAAACTGATTTTCCTAGTAAACATTCACAGTTTGTAATTTGATTTACTTTACTATATATATATATTTGTTTTTTCTTAATTTTAGCCGGAGTATAATTGTAGCTAGACTGTGCAGCACAGTTGGCCCCTAGGCACGCTTGCGGCAACGTCTACCAAACAGCTCCCAGCCCCACCAGCAGCGTCGCGGAGAGTCCATCAGCAGCTCCCCGGTCATCGTTAGCTCATCCTCGAGTATGTTCAAGCAGCTGGTTTGCTCAAAGTGCTGCAGCTGCAAGCGCTGCAATGCACGGCAATAGGCCAGCTTGTCGGGCTGTCTTTGCAGTTCCAGTTCCAGCTCCGACTCTGGCCAGTCATTGGCCTCCTCCAGCCAGACGCCAGTGATGAGCAACTGCAATCCCAGCAGCAAAAAGCATGCCTTAGTGCTCCGCATCCGCATCGTTCGACTGCGCGGCAACAACTGAACCCCCGTTCCGATTTGACTAACTGCAACTGCAACTGGAACTGGAACTGCAGCTGCAGCTGCAGTCGCTTAGCAGCTGTTTCTTGCCCATTTGCTTTACATTATGTGATTTGGCTGCATTCAATTACACACGGCTATCAGCTGCCTGAAATAAGAGCTGAGGCACCACTCATAGCACGCACTCGAAGTGCGCTCTGCCAATTTTCGTAAGCTCACAAATTTCTCTGGACTCCTGTTCCCCGTTCATCCACATCTAAGAGTCCAGCTACAATTACTCACACATTATATATATATTATGTAGCTGAAACGCTGTGTCAGCAGAATAAACAAGCTAAAACAAATGCAAGTGTTATGCAATCGGGAGTGCTCGACTAGAAGATACCTTGAGCTTCATTTATTTCTGTGGGGAATGAATTAAAATAGGATTCAAGAAAGGATTAATATCACTAGCTTAGTTCTATTTATGAAGTTCAATTACAATTATTAGTTTATTAATTAGTTCAGTTGATTCATTTGCTCATGAACGATTCAGTTTCGTTAATTATACATCCATATCAGACAGCCAAAGAACGTCTAGTTCATGAACAATTTGTAATCCAAGCGAACAAGCCATTAAACTATGATGTACACCGATCACTGGCTAAGTTAAATGCAATCCAGTTCCAATTGAAACGAGACATGGCAAAAAGGAATCCAAATGAACCACTGAGATATCAGTTTTGCGTTGATCAMTGRAYGAGYYYCATGGAACAAGTTCATATTGATCTGTTGTATTAGCTGATCAATAAATGAGTTCAATTGAACAAGTTTAATTTAATTTCACATGATTCACTGAACTTAAGCTTTACAATTGAAGATCCCATATTTAAAGATCATTTACATGACATCGAAAAATTCCGAAAATATATGAATAATATATAGGCTAATTTCATGTAAATACATTTTTGGCCATATCTCGTCTTTTTATTGATGTCAATCATCGCGTTGTACTCAACTCGCTTTATCAATTCCCTGTTTGACTTCGTCTACCTCTCGCATTATGCTAAAATATGTAAAGCGTCTCTTCGATGGCACTTTTTGCTCAATTCGCCAGAAAATTGTGAAGGAAATCAACTTGACTTTGTGAATTCGTGGAAAAGCAAGCTATTTGGTGGTCGCCTTATCACTGTGTGTTAGATAAGTTAGCTGTGTGTTAGCTAGCTAGCAAGCTAGTTGAGCAGTAGATAAGTGAAAGATAAGTTTAATTGAAAATTGGTTAGCATGCAGTTGAACATAATTGAATTAAATAAAATTAAAAAACTGTCGACACTTCTTCGCGGTGTCGTCTAGATTTGAGACATGCGTCATAGAATACAATTTTGGGACTATAAAAGCCAGCGGTGCTTGAGAAAGTTCAGTCAGTGTTCACTTAAACATTTCAGTATTAAGTATAACGACCATTAGTTCAGTCTTTGAATAGGATGTCTGGTGAGTGAATCGAAGTGGAGCGAATTGTCGATCCTCATTTCAAATTCTATATTGAATTGAATTGAAATTCGTGGCAGGCATTTATCTATTGGCATGTATCCTGTGCCTGGCCGTTGGCAGCAGCCTCGGCGTGATCCTGGAGGGCAACTACAATGTGACCTCGGTGTGCACACTGGTCAAGGCGGGCACACAGCTGGGCAGCATTGAGTCGTGCGACTATTATTATGTGTGCACCCCGAACGGACCCGTGCAGACCTATTGCCAGGCGGGCTACGCGTATGACTATAAGGCGCAAACCTGTAGCCCATCGTCTCAGGTGCAGTGCTACTACGGCGTGCAAGAGCCCTGCTCTGGCATCACCGAGGGCTGGGTACCAGTTGAAAACACTTGCAATCAGTGGATCTACTGCAAAAATGGTGTAGCCGGCGGACGCGGCAGTTGCGGTGAACTGACCTTCAGTGCGCAGTTGCAGCGATGCACTGCTGAGAAGTGTAATATCTTATCCGAAGGTGACGGAGTAACTCTTAACAACATCTGCCAGGTGGTGCCACCTAATATTTACTTTGGCGACCCCTACAATTGCACCAAGTACCAATTTTGCTACCCAGATGGCAGTTACGCATCCGGTTACTGCACCACGAGCGTAAGTTGAAATTGAATATCAAGTACAATAGGTCTGAGATATATACACATGAATATACATATATACATATACATATACATATACATATATACATATACATATAAATCTATCTGTACATAGACACTGAAAATGCAAATGTATATAGTCCAAGTTTACACTTTTGAGAAGATAACGTCCCAAACTTAATCAAAAGATTCTTCAATTTCCTATAAGACACCTAAGCTCGCTTGCCATAATCAGAAAAACAAATATTTTGTTGTTTTTTTTTTTTTTTTTTTGTGTTGCAGGCCTTCATTGTATCATCTCAACGTTGCGGCTATGATACAAACGGCGCCTGCGATCGAATTCAACAAGGAGGATTGTCCGAATCATGCGACACTGTCGGTGCTACCAGGGGCGATCCAAATGTGTGCGGCAGCTATCAGGTTTGCAATGGCAAAACCTATGAGCTGAAGAACTGTCCCAGTGGCCAGTACTTTAATGTTGCGACAAGCACCTGCTTGTCTCGTCAGTCGGCAGTACCAGAGCCGGGCTGCAATCGTTGCCAGTACGCGACCACACCGTTTGTGAATGCTATCAGCAATGATAATTGCAATACTTACTACCACTGCAACAATGGCGCCAATGGCAACGTTACCAGTTGCCCAGCAGATTACTTCTTCAACGAACTTGAGCAGGGCTGTGTCCAATATACTGGTAATAGTCTGCAAAACTATGGATCCGTCTATCCTGCTTGCGCTGGCGCCACAGCTCCAGCGACAACCACTGCACCGTCGACCGATGATACAACAACCCCATCCAATCCAGAGACCCCATCCAATCCAGAGGCCCCATCCAATCCAGAGGCCCCATCCAATCCAGAGGCCCCATCCAATTCAGATGAAACACAAAAAAACTAGTGAAAAGTTGTGACAAACGCTGAGACAACGCTCTGTATGGATATCTTTCAAATCTTTAGCACTAACCATAAATATCTATCAAATTATTTCAATAAAGCAAGCAATACAAAAAAATCAATGCAATAATTTTTTCTATTTCCATAACTACGCACCTTACTCAGCGAAAATTGTTTTTTTTTTTTTTTTTTTTTTTTTTTTTCTTCTTCTTTGGCATAAGCATTGCGTTTGGAGCTCTCTGTTACAAATTTCTTTGTAAATATTTATATACATGCGTATATATATTTTATGTGATTTGTCTTTTTTAAGTTTACCATTATTTATTAATATTAATTGATGCGAATTTTTCCAACTATAATTTTTTACTTAAATATGTTAAATATATTGCAGTCACAAAGAAAAAATAATAATAATAAGAATATCAAAATTCGGCTGGTGGAATGTTTGATATAAATACTATAAAAAACAATCTGAGAGTGTGAATTTTTTTTATTGCACAAGCCATTTACTAACTTAACGGGATTTCGGTATAGTTTTTACCATATACCCAGTGAAAAACGTAGCTTGATTTCTATGGGTATATAGAAACATTTCGACTCTCAATGGTATGCATTTATACACATATGTAAATGCCAAAGACTAATTTTTTTTTTTTTTTTTATTTTTTTTTTTTTTTTGTATATGACACTATATAGAAATCACATATCATAGGAAATTCCAAATTCAATTTAATTTGCCGTTCAATATCGATTAGGGCAGTTTTTACGGGGTATCGATTACTCAGGCAGTCCTAAAGAATTCTTGGCTTTTACCCCGCTTTTTTACACCAAATTGATTTTGCGTTTTTCACTGCAACCAAATGCTTTTCCCTCGCGACGCTGCCACAGTCAGATTGCTTGTTAGGTATTTTTTCTCGCCTCGACATTTTCATTATCGCTTCGAGTTTTTTTCCGATCTGGCTGGCCTCAACTGCTTGAAATTGCATTCACCATGCCCACAAAATTGAAAGAGCGCCAATTCAAAGCTTTCGACCTGCTGATGCATCCAATCGACCGTAAATTACAACGCCATATTATTTAATAACGCGCTGCAGGTAACGATTCGACCTATCCATGCACCATGTAGTTGGCCAAGGACTCTTTTTTTTTTATTTTGTGACAGGCCAGACAATAAATAAACGCGCCGGGAAATTGCCTGAAATACAGCTGAAAATGGTCCTCTTAAATTATACGAGTTGCCGCCACGTAAATGAAAGTGGCCAACCACAAAAAACTGAAATAAGCATATTCAATTATGTTAGCTTCTTATCGAGATAGTGATGCTGTGAAACACATTGGATCAAGAACAGCTATTTGACGATGATTTTAAAAACGTGCAATTGACTGACGAAACTACTATCAAAGCCTGAAATCGTAATTTAATTTTGAAACACTTCTTGACAGAAAAGCAAAAATGTTCCAAAAGAAAAGTACTTAGTACTGTTACTTGATTTTGTAAGTAAATAAGTAAATAAATTAAAAGGCAGTTCGTGAATTTAATTAATAAATTATTTCATTATTCAGCTTATCCTTAAAATTTGAAAGCCTTAAAAAAATTCAAGTGAAACGAAAGAGCTTACATCTGAAAAGAGCTTAAGGGAACCTTTACAATTATTAAATGTAAAGAAGAGATTCTTGTCGAGCACACTTAAGCTTATTTGTAATTATCGTGCTACGGTAATGTCGCCTGATCTGTGATCTCATTGACTCCATTAATTGAGTCCGAAGTTCCATGCTACTCCAGTCACCTTTGCTATTAGCACTTACAGCAATATGCCATTATGTGCTTTGTTTCGAAACGAAATCCCCGAAATGTTAATTCAGTTAAAAATTACCGCCGTTCGGTCGAAATGCCAGGCAGCTAGCCGTCGACTTAAATCTCAGCATGAAATTCATTTCGGATTAAATTAAGGATTAAGGTAACTTTTTCAAAGGCAACTCAACCGAGCTTCGCCACCGACTGTGTTGGAGAATTTCGCCCTTGTGGGAATGCTCTTAAGCATTTAAGCAAATTCAAAAACTTGTTAAGCTCCATAATGAAGCAATATTCAGCGCATTGCAGAGCATTTAGTTTCAGTATTTTATTGGCTTTCGTCGACCGCTAGCATTGATGGCAACTCATTTTGATCTTCGGCACTTGCTTAGCGTTTTTCTCTGTGTATTCGCTTTTCTTTTCTCTGAACTTTGCCATTAATTAGCCTCGGCAGCGCATTAAACGTATCCTGTCCTAATGACGGGCCTACTAAATGATAATGAGCCCAACCATGTGCAGCCTGCCTTTCGCTCGTTTCTATCAGCTAAATGCGGCTCTTTATATTTTAACAACTTCATTATAGCAACAAATGTGTATGGAGCACCTGCTCACCCCCACCTGGCAGCAAACACCTTTTTGCCACCCCCTTTTTTCATTGGGCAAAACAGGTCTTCCTGCTCTCCACAGGAATTAAAAAGCCCCTAACAGAAAAATTCAATTACATAATTTAAACCTTTTGTCGCACTTCTCTTTTTTCTTTTTTTTCTTTTTTAGGGGGCTTTGTTGTGTTTGATTTAATTTTTTGTTTTGTTTTTATAGACAAAAATATTTTTTTTTACATATACTTTAAAGGATTCGCAACAATGAAAAAAAAAAAACAACAAAAAAATGGTAAATATATTTCGTGATTCTGCAAAAGACAGTTTAATTTTGTCACGATTTTATTTTACAAAAAGTACAGGGTATATACATATATATATTCTTGATGACATTGAAATAATCAAATCGAGTGAGTCGTATTTCTTGCATTTAACTTTTCCTTTTTTTGTTCAAGTCAATGACTGTACTTAAAGCCAATAAGAATTATGAAAATTTAGCAATTTGATTGAAGCATTCTCTAAAATTAGAAAAATTAACAAAAATAAATATATTTTTATAATTCATATATTATTTGAAGAGTATTTGAGCTTAATCGTGCTGGCTTAGCTGTCTGCACTTCAATTCATTCTTACTTTGTAGCTCCTAAAAAGTTTGTAGCGCAACGTGGCGTATGAGTAATGCCATATTCAAGTTGAAAGCTGAAGAGTTGCATACGACTAACTATAGCAATTATGCCAGCTATGGCAACTCATGGCGTGGCTAAATGAAGCGACTTCTAATGAGTTGTAAACTATCTAAAGGCAAACTATGCATACATATAACTATGATATACATATATATATGTATGTATATAGAAGATTATGCATATGTCGAATGCTTTATGTATGCTCATAAATCTTCATTCGCAACTACGTGCGCCATCATCAGCATCAGCCTCATCATCTTATGTCTTATGGTCTACATCTTTTGGCGTCTCTTTTGGGTCTTTTGGATATGGGCCTTGGACCGGGTGGGGTCTGGGTATTTCATCTCTTGGCTACATTTGTTTCTGCTGTTCGCCTTTGTTGCCGGCTTTGTGTCGCTTTATGCGTCATTTATCATGCGAATCTCTTTACTTGTCATATTTCCCTGGGTACGCTGCTGCACCCATGATTTTTCACTTTTCAATGTTAGCGCGTGACAAACTCTCCGACAGTGAATGCATCAATGCCTGACAAAGAGTTGACAAAGACCGCCTCAGATTGTGTGAACAGCAACCGCATCAGTCACACTCTAGTCAGATTCTGCTTTTATCTGCATATCTTCTTGCTCTCTCTCTCTCTCTCTCTCTCTCTCGCTCTGTCACTCTCTACTGCAAATGCCTAAGCAGGTGACATTAGCTCACTCGCTCTTTGCCCATAATCTCAATTGACTCCTTGCAATTGGGCTTCGAGCCTTCCATTTCCTGCGGAAATGATGCGAATTCGACATTTGCTTTTGCTTTCTCTTTAAATGTTCAAAGCTAAACGTAAATAAATATGAGACATGAAACAAAAAGATAATGGCAATGCCAATAGTCGACACTTTGCAACATTATTTGCAAATGGGTAAAAGTTTCAATTTTGCTGATTTCATAAGCAGCCGGCGTTGAATATTTTATAAATATAATTGGCTTTCATTTATCCTTCTCTCTCTCCTCCTCGCTCTGAGCTTGTTTATCAAATTGTGCACATTGTTATCCTTCGCATGTCCCATTTTCCATAGCTGATTTTGATGGAAATAATTAAGCATAGAACTTCTGGAAAGCACATTTAATCACTTTTGTAATGATGGCATTGCGTCTGCTGATGTCGCCCTCTGGCGGCCACATAACGCATTATGCACATCTTTAAGCATAAATCAGCTTGGAAGCTTGGAATTTTATGCCAATTAAACTTCAGAAAATTCCTGTAGAAAATCAAAGTAAATGCTGTGCTATACTTCTAAGAAATAATTTATCCAGAATGCGACTTTTAAAACAAATTCGTTTTTTGAATAAAATAAAAATTTATATACAGTGTTAAAAAAAAAAAAAAAAAAAAAAAAAAAGAAAACGATTAAGAATGTTGCAGTCGGGCGTTACCGACTGCGGAATATTCATTCACATCCCATCAACAATTTAGCAGTTTAGCTCTAATACTCTAATACACTCAACTATCCAATTTTGAAGCTTCTAGCTATTATACTTTAGGAGATATAGACTTTTGCGGTTTGCCACGCCCCCTGTGGGCGAACATATATCCGTCGAAGCTTTTTGGTCTTGGGTGGTCAGCCCAAATTGCACATTGCAGAAAACCAATATACTAATTCACTTTCACTATAAAAATCATCCTTTAAATTTTATTAGTTGTTTTTAATCAAAATTGGAAAATTTTGACATAATTATTATTTCCTACAAAAATATTATTATATACTATGAATTAGCAAATATGACCAGAAAACCAATTAATTATACCTTGAACTAAATTTTCTAAAATTTAAAAATATTCATAAATTAAATATTTATTTTTTAAACGTGTCCTGCCGCAGAATAACAAGCCACAAAATGCAATTAAAAACGATTTAACTTTAACTCTTTTATAGTAAAATAAAAAATGATTAAATAACAGCAGCTCACAATTAATATGTGTGTATTTGCATTTGTGTATGTGTGTGTAAACACTCTGTTGTATGATGCTCATTCTGCTTGAATGTATTGTAGCTCTTTGTTTATAACTGTTGTTTATTGTTGTTCGGCCATCATTTGATTACAGCAAATAAATCAAACACCGAACAACGTTTTTGTTTGCTCGCCTCAAATTTTAATTGAAATGCGGGCAATTTTAATGAGCTGCAACAGCAAATTTTCGCATTTCCCCGAAAATGTGCCACGGCCCCTGCCTGCCGGCACACGGCCCTCGGCAGCTGACCGATGCAAAATTGTTTGCGTTTGGAGTAAATGATAATGGGGCACACACATGTCAAATGTTTTATTTAAGTGAATATTAAATGCCTTACAAATTGCCCCGCCCCTCCCCCCCCTAGTCTTTGGTTCGTTTCGCTTTCAGTTTCGGTTTCGGTTACGGTTACGGATACGGCTATGGCTACGGCTACGGCTACGGCTACGTTKTTGGTTGCTATGCTTTGCATAAACATATTTCATTTTGGGCTTTAACAAATTTATTTGCCAGCGTGCGTCTAAAAAGGGGCAGACGGACCCACGCATGCCACGCCCTCACCAATACCCCCGCCCACGCCCACGCTTACGCCCAGCAGCGTGCAAATAGACCCATAGCTTTATTTATGCATGCCTGCCAAGCAGGCAAACAAACAGGACACATCAAACGTGCCCGGGTCCTTTAACAGAGCAAAAGGACCCGGATCTGGCCTCTACTACGGCTACGTT